AAATAAATAAATAAATAAATAAATAAATAAATAAATAGAAAGCAAAAAAACAAGAACAAAAAAAAAAACTTGTATTTCAAAACTCTGGAAAATAAAATCTCTGGAATAAAGAAAAACTCTGAAACACACCAAAATTTCAACAGCGCTTATCTCAAGAGGCATATTGGGGGATTTCCTGCATTATTTAAATTTTCTCACAATCAGAAAATGTTATTTTTAGATTAAACACACACACTTAAGTTTTATGTTCATCATATCAATAAAAGTATGCTACAGAAGCTTACACAATTAAAAAAAGGCAGAAAATGGCTTCAACAGTAGACAGAGTTGAGATTTAATACCCATTTAATTCAAAAGAGCTTCATGGCACAAAACACTGACAAAGTTACAGACATTATTTCTCATATAACTTTGAATATAATACATATCTCCTTAATGCCAGTACTTACCCCATATCTTTCAGCCACAATGTCTTCAAAACGTCTGTTCTGTTTCTCAGCTTGTTCCTTCATTCTCTGGTAAGACTTCCTCAGCCAGCTCAATCCACCATCTTCTACCACTGAAACTAAATTCCAGTACTAAATGTCAGTTATACTTTTCATGTAGTTATAACAGAATTAATATTGCTTCTCTAATAATTTCTTAAAGTATAAGTTATTCTTCCTTGAACATAAAAGAACCATAAGTGCATTTAAAATTCAACATATTGGGGCGCTTGGGTGGCGCAGTCGGTTAAGTGTCCGACTTCAGCCAGGTCACGATCTCACGGTCCGTGAGTTCGAGCCCCGCGTCAGGCTCTGGGCTGGTGGCTCAGAGCCTGGAGCCTGTTTCCGATTCTGTGTCTCCCTCTCTCTCTGCCCCTCCCCCGTTCATGCTCTGTCTCTCTCTGTCTTAAAAATAAACGTTGAAAAAAAAAATTTTTTTAAACAAAAAAAATAAAACAAAATAAAATTCAACATATTATTTATGTACCTATATATGCAAGGTATGTATTTTAGGGACTGAGGAAGGCAAAAATTAAACTATCCTCAAAAAAAGTGCAATCTAAAAGTATAAAGATAAAAGGATATAAACAATAACAATAAAGATAATATGTAGTAAAAATTATACAAAGATAAAGAATTATACAACAATGAGAGATGGATTATTTCTAAATGGAAGGTCACGTAAAATTTAAAGATCAGGCTTAAAACAAGGAGCTGGATGTCCACAAACAAAGATAAAAACAGGGAGGGCATGCCCAGAAATAAAGGATGAAAGTACACACACAGAAGAGGAAAAAGTTACCTCAGAAACAAAACAAAGAACAAATGAGGAAATTACAGAAGAGAATACTGAAAGGCAAACCAAAACAAATTATTCCATTATAGTCATGACCGCCAGCTATGAAAATCTGAATGCCTTCAACAAACTTTATTAAGCTGCTTGTATTTCCTTCTACACACATCACACTTTTACGCACATAAAGAAATCTAATCAATTACTTAAGTCAAAATTCTGTTCCTGATTTTCCTTGTCCAAAAATAGGATGGCTTTAGATCACCCCAGTTCTACAATCAACAAAAACACACACAAAACCCAAAAGACATGTGTAAAAATCATAGTAGTGGAAAAGTCTGCAGTAATCCCAGCTTAGAAAACAACCCAAATGTCCACCATTAGTAACATGGGTAAACAGCATAAATTGTGACATATTCCTAAAATACACAGCAATGGAAATCAATGACTACAACAGTGCATAACATGGGTGATTCTGAAAATGGGAACACAGGAAGCAGGAAACCAAAGGGAACAACGGTACTTACTATGGGATTCCAGGGAAAATGGACTTTAGTGCTAGAAACCAAAGCAGTGGCTATTCTGACAGGAGCAGAGTGACCAGAAGTGCCACAAGGCAGCTTGTGGGATGCGAATGATGTTCTGTTTCTCAAAAGGTCTGCTGATTACACGGGTATTTTCACTTTGGAGTAATGATCAGACTGTACACTTAACAATTTGTGCACTTTTCTGTATGTGTTAGACTTCACTAAAAAGTTTAAAGGGAAAAAAAAGATTTTTCAATCCTCTAACTGCAGTCTCACTCAAATCTCAAAAATCTATCTTTGTTAAGCAATCTCTTCAAAGAAAAGAAGTCTCTCTTTACAGATCTAAAATACTTCGTACTTCGAAACCTAGATGTCCAGTTAACTCAATGATTCACTTTTCTTTCAAGTTTATTTTGCTCTTACTCCTTTTTTATTTTATACAATGTATGAGTTCAAAATTAACAATGCAATTACTCAAGGAAGTTAGTCTAAATCCTCAATATACATGAGGATAAGAGAAACCCATTATCAATAATACCTATATTAACATCCCAGTTACACAATTAAGTTTATTTCAAAGAATTATCTACGAAACTGAAAAAATGCTGACGGGCAGAGTGAAGACCAGATTTCCTTAACAATCACCAGTATATTAACACAGTTCAGAGAAAAAAAGCTCAGAGAAAAAGGAAGACTTTTATTCCTCTGTGTTGACATTTACCAAGGAACTCAAACAAGAAAAAAAACTTTTCAGGGAGCCTGGGTGGCTCAGTCAGTTAGGTATCAGGCTTTGGCTCTGGTCATGATCTCGCAGTTTGTGAGTTCGAGCCCCACGTCCGGCTCTGTGCTGACAGCACAGACCATGGAGCCTGCTTTGGATTCTATGTCTCCCGGTCTCTCGGCCCCTCCCATGCTCATGCTCTGTCTCTCTCTCTCTCTCTCTCAATAATAAATAAACATTAAAAAATTTTTTTTCTCTAAAAAGAATAAACCTTTCAATGAATTCAGGTATGAGTAAGACTCACAATTTTAGAAATATTTATACAATAATATCATCTTTAGGGGCACCTGGGTGGCGTCCAACTTCAGCTCAGGTCATGATCTCACAGTTCGTGAGATCGAGCCCCACATCGGGCTCTGTGCTGACAGCTCGGAGCCTGGAGCCTGCTTCAGATCCTGTGTCTCCCTTTCTTTCTGCCCTTCCCCTATTCACACTCTGTCTCTCTCTCTCTCTCTCCTTCAAAAATATATAAACATTAAAAAAATTATTCAATAATATATCTTTAGTTGATTGTATGCTCTATTTCAATAGTCTTATTAATCTTATAATTAGAGATGACAGGGGCGCCTGGGTGGCGCAGTCGGTTAAGCGTCCGACTTCAGCCAGGTCACGATCTCGCGGTCCGTGAGTTTGAGCCCCGCGGCAGGCTCTGGGCTGATGGCTCGGAGCCTGCAGCCTGATTCCGATTCTGTGTCTCCCTCTCTCTCTGCCCCTCCCCCGTTCATGCTCTGTCTCTCTCTGTCCCAAAAATAAATAAAAAACGTTGAAAAAAAATTTAAAAAAAAAAATAATAATAGAGATGACAATAATGAAATATTTTTAACAGTAAAAATCACCAAATATTTTAAAAACAAATAAAAAATACCAATTTGCAGCACCATCATGAAATTCATTCTAACAAATATTTAGTGAATATTTACTATAAATATGAAAATGTGTTAAACACAGTAGGAAGTAAAAAATAAATAAAACATAGTCGCTATCCTTTATGCAGAGATAAAGATATATCAAATAATTATAATAAACTCACGGTATACAACATATATACACCTATATCTGAGGTCAAAATGTAAGAGACTAAAAGTATATGCTTCCATCATAATTAAAGGTTATTTGGTATACGCAAAACACAACCAAATGAATCCAAGCTCTATTCCCATTTCTCATAAGGCAAATATAAAAACAGCAACAAAGTATCAGGAGACCAAGATATTAACCTCACTGTTCCTATAAACTAGTTGTAAGATCTTAACCAAGTCACTGACTAAATCGTTGCTTCTTCATATGTATTACAGGGCAGTTTTGATTTAAACTGCCTATGAAATTTCTTCCAACTCAGAAGATTCTAAAAGTCAAAAAACAGAGGGGAAAACATCCTGGAAAGAACAAAAATACATGAGAACAGTTTGTAAGCAAGAATGTCTACTAACTCCATGGTAACACATCCAGTCCTGTAGTGAAGAATCCAGAGCAACTCAACATGGGCCAGCAATCAGAAGACCTGGTCCCAGGACCACCCCTCTGACTAGAGGAACGACCCGGCCACTCTGAGCCTTAGTCTCCTGTGCTGTAACACTCAGGACAGTAACACCTACTTTGCTACCTTCACACGGTTGTTACGAAAATGAGCTCACGTGTAAATGTGCCGCAGGTACTTTAAAACTGTACAAATATTCCCACTGCTAAAATATGGTTAAAAATAATTTTGTATGAACGCTGAAAACAGTTTACTTACTTGTCCACTTAATTTTTTCTAAGGGGAAAAGATCAAAACAAATGAACTGATTTTTGAAAACATGGCACCTCAATCACTACCAAAACAAACGGTTGAAAACTTCATTTTCCCAAAACATTTCATCATAAGGACAAGTATTTGCCACTGTCATCATTATTTTACTGTATCCCAGATATTTTGCTGGAAAGTCTCCTCCCTGGATCCTCACAGCACCCACCTAAGACCGGCCACCATGTTCCCGGGGTGATGGCACCAACAAGGCAAGTGATAAACTTCCTGTGCGGGTCCAAGGAGTAGGACACGCAGGTGCTGAGCAGTCCTAGCTGGTTGGCCCCGCACTGAGAGGTACACCTGTTCCAGTGCACCTGGCGCCACACCGCGCTCCCATGAAGGTGCCCTGGGCACCTTGCCCGAGACCTGCCGCAGTGGGCGGGGCTGGGCGCTTCTCTAGACTCACAAATATGGTGGTATGGGAAGCTCCCTTTCTAGCTGGCCTTGAAGGTCCGCTCAAAGGCAGCACCGACAACCTCTGATTCTGGACTTCCTGTGGGATTCCCCCTGGTTTCCATTTGTATTCTACCCACGCTGCCCTGGATGCCTTGAGAGGTCACTTCTGCCTTTCCGGTGGCAAAACGGTGTGCTACCTCTTAAAAACAAAAGCCACAGTAAATGCATCTCAGCTGGGTATTGACAACCTCTCTCTACCAGAAAAGGATGCAGAGCTGTAAGAGAAGATAACGTGAGTGCATACTTGCCTCAGTTCACTGATGAAGATTCTGAAGGAAGTGACTCCTGACCAGCCCAAGCCAGAAAACTGATCCAGAATCAAAGCTTAAGTATCAGGGTCAGGCCTTATTGCTATCTTCAGCAACAGGTGCTGTCTGATCAATTCTCAAGCAAGACTGGCTTCAAAAATGAATGGGAAATGTGGTTTATTATGATTACGCCTAGGTGGATTTTCCAAATGATTTGTGAAGCTATTTCTAGACGATGTGAAACTAAGGAGCCTTCTGTCCAGGTTTTATAGTTATTTGCCTTAAGAATTTACTGGAGCTTGTCAATTTCACAAATACTTATTTCTGAAAACAACTTTTACTGCAAATTTAGGTTGATTAAGAGGTGATGTCCCGTGAATGTTCTGATATAAAGATGCACCGTTTTTAAAAAATAGAGTTGTATTTAACATTGACTACTATTATTCCTACACAGAATGGGTATTATGTAAAGACTGAGAAACCCTTTTTTTTCTTACATAAAATACAGGTACATACATATTCTGTAGGTAATATTCAATAAGTTAACTGGATAATATACCATTTCCTTTCTATTTTCATTTCCAAACTGAGCTTAACTGGCTAATAATGGAAGGAATGATAAAACATCAAACATTCACCAAGATGCTGTTTTTCATATTTTGTTTCACATAGCACTTTGGCTCAGCGGCCTGTCACGTTATTCACTCGGGAAAGGTATTGTACTAGCTACTGGGGATAAAAGGTAAGCAAAACAGCCACCCTATCAGCACAGAGCTCATAATCTCATTACAGATGAGATGGACATTCAAACAACCACATAAGTCCATGTAAAATTGCTACCATAACAGTAAGGGTCTTGAAGGGGACACAGAGCTAGCACACACAGCAGGGAACAGCCCTGGTCCGGGGGTCAGGAACAGCCTCGCAGAGGATGTCACAGCAGTGATGTGACAGAGGAGTAGGGGCTCTTTAGGTAATGGAGGGGAAACCTGAAGGCCCTGAGGCCCTTCAATGAAGGCTGCAGGAACTGCACCAGTGGCCAGAAAGCAGAGGGTGCAAGGAATCACTGGCCTCCAGAAGGGTGTTTGTTCTTACCCCAAGAACAATGGGAAGCCCTTGAAGAATGTTACAGGAGGAGGCCTATGACAGGATTGGTTTTACTTCTGTAGGACCTGCTTATGGTCGTCTTGGGGAGCATGGGCTACAGGGGTAGCAAGCAGATCACCGAAGAGCAGGCAAGAGCAGAATCGAGAGATAGCACAGCCAAGTGGTCGTGCAGAGAAAGGCAGACTTGGTTCAGGTACAGATGACAAACTTTTTTTAATTCTTTCCGTCTTATACTACATAAAGGACATTCCCCTTTAAAAATATTTTGAGCAAGAAAATTCTGATTAGCTTTATACTTTTGAGATGCAAAATCTGGTTCCATACGCAAGGGTGAAGCCTTGGAAACTAACACCACCACAAAAACTCTTACTTTCTACCCCTAAAGAATGGGACCTGATGACTTAATACCATATTGAATCAGCCTAGGGTTTTTATTGTGTGCGGGTACATCCTTATGCGGCTATCTTTCTTAACTTCAGGATTTGCCAATTTGGCAGAAAATTAAATGCATGAACTTGACACCAAGTTAAACTGGCTGGTTTCAAATAGTTTTTTTTTTTCTTTTTTTCCAAATACAAAATACATGCTTACTCTAGAAAAAAATTCAGGCATAGATGTATGACCAAATAGAGGATGAAAGTACACTTCTGTCTCCAGCTCTGAGAGGCACAGAACAGCATGCTGGGAAGTGAGCGGGCTCTGGAGCCAAACTATCTGGATTCAAACTGTGGTTTGGATACTTACTAGCCATGAACTTGAGGAATTTACTTAACCTCTTACTGTAAAACAGGGATTAAAAACTAGGGCTGTAACTCTTGACTACAGAGAACACAATGATGGTCACCAGAGGGGAGGTGAGTGGGGCGGGGGATGGGGGAAACAGGTGACGGGGATTAAGGATGCACTTGCAGTGATGAGCACCGGGTGATGCACCCAAGTGTTGGATCACTATATTGTACACCTGAAACTAGTATTACTCTGCATGTGAGGCAAGTGAATTTAAATAAAAACTTTATTAAAAATGAGTAAACTGAACTCAGAGAAGTCAAGAAACATTCCCCAAATCACAAAGCAGTAAGTGGAAATGCCAAAATTCCAATCTCAAGCAGCCTAACTCCAAAATCTGAGTCCTTAACTCTAACACTATGTGACCAACAAACACAACTCCCTAATATTAAAGTCACAACACTTTTAGGTGCCTAACCATTTCAGCCTTACCACTGGTCTAAACAGAATGACTATACTATCTGCATATGTGGTAAAATCCGCAGATCATTCAAAACTTAATTTTAACTCCAGGGTGCCTGGGTGTCTCAGGAGGTTAAGCATCTCACTTCTGCTCAGGTCATGATCTCATTGCTTTTGAGTTCCAGCCCCGCATCGGGCTCTGTGCTGACAGCTCGGAGCCTGGAACCTGCTTCGGATTCTGTGTCTCCCTCTCTCTCTGCTCCTCCCCTGCTTGCGCGCGCTTGCTCTCTCTCTTTCTTTCTCTCTCTCTCTCTCTCTCTCAAAAATAAATACACATTAAAAAAAGTTTTTAATTTAATTTCAACTCTGGGATCTGAACGTCTGACGGAGAGAAGCTTTCTGTCATTTTTCTTCCTTCTAAATAATACAGGAAAGGGGAGCAGTGAAAGCACATATGAAGAGGAAAAAGGCTTTCCAAAAGCTTCATATTAGGTCGTTTTTCTCCTAGAAAACGTCTTTGATTATGCTGTTTCGACTGAAAGATACCACGTAAGGTAGAACTTTGAGTCTCCCACACTCAAGAAGTTAAGAACCTATTGACTGCAAAAAACCCAAAGATTAAGTCTGTCAAGTCTAAGTTTTCCCCAGAGATGAATTTATTGACTGCCCTCTGACAAGAGTGCTGGTAAAAGCCTGGATCATAAAATTAGCCCGACACAGTGATGGTTGAGGAAGCTAACTTACTGCCCTACGCTTTCACTTTTAAGTGTCTAAAAAAAAAAAAAAAAAAAAAAAAAAAAAAAAAAGTATCTCAAAGAGATTCCTGTGTGACTACACTTCCTATGATATAACCCAGCAGAGACATTTCTACCAGTGCTGAAAGGCAATAAAGAAAATGCTACAATTACTAATAACTTCAGCAAAACTGCTAAAGAAAAAAATACAAATGAAACTGGAAGGGGGCTCTAGGGACATCTCTACATAAAATATAAGAAAAATTTTTATGAATGGCCACAATAAAAATAAAAGATATAACAAAAAGCAGGAACGTATTCTGGTAAATCACTAAGATGAAAAAATAAAACCCTAACTTACAATGCCACTATCTGTACACTGGGTTAATTGTATTTGAATGGACTTTTCATGGAGGTGTCAATGAACACTTAATTGGCATATAAATATTTTTAAAATTATGGTATCAAGTGTGATTATGTGACACTTAAATATTTTGTCTCCATCTGTTGGAAAATAACAGCACTATCCAAGGTAAATAACAAGTTTTATGAATGCTGGCAAAGTAGGAATTTCTAAAGAACATATGAAATCACATCTTTAATATTTATACGTTATTTTCATAAAAGTTCAGACATACCGCTTTTTTACATTTTGTTACAGGATGTAACAACCCAAAGCATTATTATATCCTCACAAAATCATACTTTGTATTAATCCATTCAAAACAGACCCTGAAATATGAAAACATTATCAAGTATAAAAATATAGATTTAATCAATTTCCTCCCCAACATATATAATTAACATAATCAATCTTTCCAGGTACTAAATTTAAACAAGGCCTCAAAAGACCGCACACATTTTATTTACTTTGTCCTATGTAATCTGAACCTTCAATAATAATCCATGGAGGCTCATAATATGAAACCACCGGATTCCACATCAAATGATCAGTAAACTTACAGTTGTTTTTCAAATACAGAAATAAGCACAGATAATTACAGACTTAAAACCACCTCACCACACAGAAACACGTAATATTTAAATAATCAGATCTTCCCAATCTACCAACAAACTCTGGTCGTTCCCTTAGGAATACCAAGTTACAAGAAACGCCTGTGTGGCTACAACCAAAATGTAGAGATACCTTTAGTAACTGATGACACGTGACAGTCTTCTGGGGGAAGACCTGTACCACCATCTTTCCAGTATGGATTCAGTTCTCTTTCCAGCAGTCTGGACTAGAACAAAACGTTTTCAGAGGTCATAATTTTTTTAAAAAGCCGCCATAAAATACATTAATCAATAATATATGAGACTCAGTTAACAATTGTAAACCTGGACAAATAATTAAAACAATCCTAAGACACACTCTTCTGCAACTTGCAAAAATAATGCCTAAATTAACATTCGTCCAATGCTTCCAATGAACGCCTACTATGAATCAAAACTGTGGCAGATGCAGAAGATATAATAATCTGCCTAACTCGTCCCTGGCTAGATTAGGAGATAGTGAGGAACGGAGACAATGAACAAGTAACTGACAAGTGTTTTGAGGACGAAGTGCAGAGTGCTATAGCCACACATTACTTAACCCCCTCTCACACTGGCAAATCAAAGACTTCCTAGAGGAAGTAGTACATGCAGTCTGAGACCTAAAGAGGAGCAGGGATTAGCCAAATCCTCTTTTGTGGGGGAAGAAGGCATAGAGATGCTCCAGCGAGGAGTAGCAGCATATTTATAAAACCCTAGAGGAAACAGAAAACATAACACTTCCAAGGAACTTAAAATAATTGAGACTGTCTAAAACCTAGAAGCATAAGTGAGTAGTGATAAGACATTAGGTTGTAGAATAACCAGGGACAAGGGCCACGTGAGCCAGTTGAAACTGCTACTGGGCTCTCATAGTAGGGCGGTGGTGAATCATGGAAGTGATTGGCTTTGAATTACACAAAGAGCAAACTGGGTTCAGAGTAAAGAGTACAGGAAAGCAAGATCAGAGGCAGGAATCCAGTCAGACAACTGTGGTAATAATCAGCAAAGAGATGACAGTAGCCCTGTCGCAAACCAAGTGCCTTCTGCGTCCCAAGCACGGTGGCGGGCCCTGGGGCTGCAATGAAGAAGCCAGAGTCCTTTCCCTCAAAGAAAGGACCGTCTGGAGAAAGGAGAGAGACAATTAAGCAATTCCAATACAGGAAGTGCTATGAAGGTAAAGGGTGCTATAGAACCACATACAAGGGGTACCTGACTTGACCTGAGGAGGCCAGAAAATGTTTCCCAGGACTAACAACAACAATTATTAGAATTAATAATGGCAACTAGATGGAGAAGAATGAAGAGAGTTCAATGTCAGTTTCTAGTAATATGAGCCAACCATATTATTGAAAACAAAAAAAGGTGAATAAAACTTTTTTAAAGCTTTTAAAATACATTCATGAGTTGACAAAAAAAGTAGAGAATCTTCAAAGTACAAAATTTAAGTTCAAGGTTAATGTGGAAGGATAGGCAAAAACATAAGAATTTGACTTCTTAGAGTAGTTTGTACCAAAAAAATAATAAAAATTAAAAAAAGATTCTGAGGGCGCCTGGGTGGCTCCGTTGGTTGGGCGTCTGACTTCAGCTCAGGTCATGGTCTCATTGTTGGTGGGTTCGAGCCCCGCGCTGGGCTCTGTGCTGACAGCTCGGAGCCTGGAGCCTGCTTCTGATTCTGTGTCTCCCTCTCGCTCGGCCCCTACCCCAACTCATGGTCTGTTTCTCTCTGTCTCAAAAATAAATGAACATAAAAAATTAAAAAAAAAAAAAAAAGATTCTGTCACCTCCCTTGTTAGACTACTACAAAATCTCAAAGCATCTAAAATCAAGGTGTTTGTTCCAGTGGTCTTGTGCAGACACTCAAAGATCCACATCAAAGTCTCAAAAGAATACAAAAGGCTGACAGCATGAAGCCTGCTTAGGATATTCTGTCTCCTGCTCTGTCTGCCCCTCCTCCACTTGCTCTCTATCTCTCTCTCAAAATAAATAAAAATAAACTTAAAAAAAAAAAAAAAAACAAGTGAGGCACCTGGGGGGCTCAGTAGGTTAAGCATCCAACTTCGGCTCAGGTCATGATCTCAACGGTTTGTGGGTTTGAGCCCCACATCGAGCTCTGTGCTGACAGCTCAGAGCCTACTTGGGATTCTCTCTCTTGCTCTCTCTGTCCCTCCTCCAGTCACACTCTCTCTTTCTCTCTCAAAACAAATAAATATTAAAAAGAAAAAACAATGAAATGCCATCTCTCACTATTAATTAGCATGACGAAAATTTACAAGTCTGACAATACAGATGCTAAGGACCGTAAAGAAACGCACACTGTCAGGGCAGCGTAAGCGACCATCTACACAAGACAGGTGAGTACCTTATAACCTGGCAACAACTCTTCTAGGTGTGCACCAAGGAGAAGTCCACACAAGGACCTTCGTCTAGCACTGTGTGTAACACTGAAAAACAGCAACCAGTGCCAATGTCCACAGATAACCACAAGAAACGGACAGCTACAGAATGGCACAGTTAGATGACGAAAGACTGCACGGTGATTTGAAGGAATGAACCAAAATATGAATCAATCTCTAAAACACACTCAGGCCTTCAAGTCAAAATGGCCTATAAAGGTTCCATTCACTCATCACAACCTCCCTGCTCAGGACAAACAGAAAAGAAACATAAAATATAAAACATAATTCAGTTCAAGACAAGATAAACACCTCCACGGACCAGAAAGGTAATGCAAAGTGGAAACCCAGGCCTTACTGGGCTCTATGTGCAGGCAGAAAGCAACAGCCCTTCCTCAGTTTGTGTAAGATAATAAACACTATGAGTGCCGCAGTGAGATGGGGACGGAGCCAGCTTCAGCACACAAAGCTCAGGACTGGGGTGGGACACCTCCTGCTGGCAAAAGAAGGCTGAAAAGTGGGTATTTGTCTGTACAATGCTCTACAGACGAGGTCTACAGATAGATGCCACAGGTCTACAGCGTATAGCACAGTGCAGGCAGAGGCAGCCCAGAGGACAAAGACACAGCCTTGAGCATTTGTTTTCACACTTTTTTGTGACCTTCACCCAAAGAGAGATTGTATGTGTGTGTTTATACAAAGTCTGTGTGTGTGTGTGTGTGTGTGTGTGTGTGTGTGTCCAAAACAAAGGTTTTAGGAAACAAAATGTATATTTATTACATGTAAAACTGCTGACATTTGATATTTTAAGTGCTGACTGCAATACGTCAATTACATGACCCACTTTTGAAGAACACCAGGCTGGAACACCAAAGAAATGACATCCTCAAAAACAAGAAAAGACATAAAATCAACATGCTTCACACTGAAGCTTCCGTTCAGGACCATCATTTTAGACTCCTTCCCACTGTCTTCATGTTATCCACACTCTCATTACTAGAGTCAACATCTGATTCTAAGACAAGGGCCTTTTTTTTCCTCAAAATAAACCAAATTTTTATCACATGTTAAGAATATAATCATGTGCAGAGAACAGCACACTCAGACTGATGTGCAGGTGTTTGAAAACTGGCTGTTGTCACTCAATAGTCTAGATGATCTACTTGTGCTCCCAACAGTCTGAATTGTTACCTAAACAAAAATCAGAAACTACTACAGGCTTTAAACATCCGAACTAAATCCAAGGATTTACAGAGCAGCAAGGTAAGTTCACAGGGAAAGGAATAATAAATCTTCTATACTTTCAAATATATCAAAAAAAAAAAAAAAAAAAAAAAAAAGGCACTACACATGGAGTTCTCTTCTAGCTGCTAAGGAAGATATAAACAACACAGTTTCTCAAGAAGTATATAATCTCATAAGGGAAATCAGAGAAAACTACTAAATCACAGTACTTTACAGAAATCTACAAGTACTATAAAGTAAAGGAACAAAGTGCTATGGAAACATAAAGACAGAAGAGATTTATTTCAGTTAAGGGAAACAAGAAAAATTTCATAGTACATATCAAGTTAGGCCTTAAAGGATAAACAAGATGCAGACTTATAGACTTTCTAATTCACTTAGAAAGAACCAGATGAGGGGTGCCTGTGTAGCTTGGTCGGTTATGCATCTGACTCTTGATCTTGCCTCAGGTATGATCTCATAGTTCGTGAGATCGACTCCCACATCAGGCTCTGAGCTGACAGTGCGGAGCCTGCTTGGGATTCTCTCTCCCTCTCTCTCTCTCTCTCAAAAATAAATAAACTTAGAAAGAAAGAAACAAAGAAACAAAGGAAGGAAAGAAGGGAGGGAGGGAGGGAGG